ACCCACTTAGGGACGAAATCATCCATAAAACCCACGCTGCCCCCATAAATTTCACTCTTGATTCTTAACAAATTCAATGTTTGGTAGTCTTATTCCGTTGCTCTGAAAATCAATGAAGGCTTTCGCCGGATAAGGCTCTCTCGTAAATGAACTGAGGATCGTTCGCCCCATTTTTACATAAGAAATCTCATTTCTTTTCCCTATTTTCTACGCCGACAAAGGTGAGACCTGAGAGAAAAGGACTAAAGTGATGTCCAACTAGAAGATGACCCATGATAAGTCGGAGTCGACTAGTCGAAGAACCACAATCCCTGGACTGCCGTCCACTCTAAGGAGATGGACCAGTCCTCGTAGATTCTCTGAGCAATGGAATAAGACTACAAAACCTTGAATTTGTAAAGAATCACGAGGGAAATTCAGAGGGGCAGCGACGGTTTTATAGATAACTTTGTCTCTAAAGTGGGTGGCAGTCCCAGGATTGTGGTCCTCCGACAGGTCACAACTTTTCAAGGGTCTTTGTCAAGTTGGACATTACTTGCAGGCAGCATAAATTAAGTCGATTGCTACCGGGTCTCTCCTATGTCAACGTGGAAAATAAGGGGCCCGTGGCAAAGGACGACATTTTCAATGAAAGAATCGGCACGGACGTTCATCAGTTCATTTGCGAAAATGCCGTATCCTGTGGAAGTCCTCGTCGATTCTCGAACAACGGAAAAAGACTACAACACCTTGACCCTTAAAGGTGCAATTTAGGGGGGCAGCGGGGGTTTTATTGATACTTTTGGCCCCAAAGTGAGCGGTCGTCATGTATTTCTGGTATTCTAATAACTAGTCGTGTTTCTTAAGGGACCCTCGTCAAGTATGGCAGATTTTCGGGCACCATTTAAGGTGAATTTCCTGATTTCCCTCCGCTCTGAAACGAAAAAAAAGGGGATTAGGGCGTTGAGAGTAATACAACCTCTCCGTCAATTTACAGGCCGCTTCCGCGATTACATTTTCAAGAAGATGCATTCGGACTCGATGCTAATTCCGTAGCTCGGAGGTCGGAGCTCTTTTGGACTCTTCGCATTTTAATGAAATTTATTGAATTAGACTCCTCCCCCTCCCCGGTGGGGACCGTGGTGGCTCCCACACGTGGGGGCAAATGAAGATTCAAGTGTCACATGTGGAGTTTCTAAGGACTTTCTAAAAGGAGAAACGGTCTATCCATGAGCCGTCGAACCTACTCTAATGCCCTCGTCTCACGATCAAATGAACTCGTCAAATGCAAGATGGCGGGTTCATCAACATTGACGGCCCGCTAACTTTTGATAGCTGACTTGCGCGAAAACCAGTCGCCATCTTGCATTTGATGACTATTTGATGAGTTCATTTGATCGTGAGACAAAGGCTTATGAAATAAAGGTGCAGATCCCCCAGATAAACTTTGGGCGGATAACATTTGGCAGGGGGATCGGATTGACTCGCAGTTTCCGCAGATTTTTTTTTGGCCCTTGTCATTTTAAATTCTCAAGTCGAAAACTGAAAACTGGAAAGTACCTCACAAAGTTTTTCCCTTGATATGAAGAAGAACGCCGAAAATATAATATTCCTATTCCAATTTTACCTTTTACCCCTCGAAAATAAAAGCGGCAAATCCGTAATGGCAACGAAGACTAAAACAAAATAAAAATAATAAATTTAAAATAAAACCTAGAAAATAAAAGAAAACCTAAGATATATGAGTACGCCAATTTTATGGCTACATAATGGTGTTAGATATTTTCGATTGCATTCGATGGTTATTACGTAAAAAAGATCATGGCCGCAATTTCGAACGTTTAAGGTTTAGTGGTCCTTTAAAATTTTGAACATTTGAAAAAAGCTGCAAATTCAGACAGCCTAATCAGCTTCTGATCAAATAAAATCAGTTCATTGAAATATGTTGGCGCTTAAGATTACTTGCGCGCCCCTCCCCCTCTCTACGATCAGTCTCTATCAGTGGCGTGGCGTGAATGATCGACTATCGACATCTCTCCATTTGAAGCTATGGTAAAGAATCGATTATTAAGATGTTCGTTGCGAACACCCTGTCTATATCGATCCTTTTCCATTGGTTTAAATGGCAGATCAATCGATACATCGCAAAGCACGCCACGCCACTGGTCTCTATCTTTTCTTAGCGACACTCGCCGAAACAGAATCATCCTCAACTCTCAAACACGATTTTGGATCGAGCAGCCGATTTATGCGATAAAATTTACGGTCATAGTTTCCGGGTATCTCTCGGTTTAATCAACAACGCAGGAGCACGCCAAACGCGTGCGGAGGAGATGTAGAATGCGTGAGGAAACGTATTTATCTATTCAAGAACTGGAGTGCAACTATTTCCCCAGTGCCGCCGTTGATAAGTGTGTACCGCGGGTTGCGGCAAACCGTCCTAGGTAGAACGTCTTAGCTATGTATGGCGGGTTGCGGGAAACCATTCGACGCAGGAACTTCGATCCCGCTTGTACCTCCCACCATCCAAACCCTACGCCCAACCTCGTATCGAATCGTTCTTACACCTCCGCTAAAGAACATGTTTCATAAGCGTCATTCATGCGTTATTGGGCGTTGATGAGAAATTTCAATTTTATCTCTACAAAAGCTCGTTCGATGAAATCGAAATTTTATTGCAATTTAATGCTATGAAATCGCAATTTAATTGCAATTTAATGCGATGAAATCGCAATTTATCGCGATTTTTTACCAGATAATATTGCGATAAATCGACGTCGATAAAATCGCGATACATTCCCTGCTAAAAATGAGTGTAATGTTAGCATATTGATAGCAATGTGCTAGTATTAAGTTTTCAAGAAAATACTGAGTACCGTAATGTTAGCAATATGTCGGTACTATACCAGCTATATGTGAGAATTAAGTTCGTTAGTGATACACTAAATGATTATATCCTAGCCATACAGGGTTATCCAAAAGTCACTGACCACCCCTGTAACTTTTTTCCAAATTAAGATAGAAGTTTGAAACTTTGGGAATGTTCCTCGGTCTAAGGTAGCAACTTTTTGGTCCCCCCAAAATTTTGAGGGGCGGCCCCCCTTAAGGGGCGCGGGGCCTAACTTTTTTTTTTCAAATGGCAACCCCCCTTTTGTGATACTTCATTCGAAAGATAATAAAAAAAGAAAATTTTTGGCGCAAACCGCATCTGAAATGTTGACAAATTCCAAAGTGGCGGCGGAAAAATGGCGGGAAATCAGTTTTACGGCTGTTTACCGATGAATTTGCATGGAATTCGATATCCTGGCGGTTTTTGGCTGGATTAAAAGGAATTTTTCATTAGATTCTTGAAATATCAAATAATTTATTGCTAATCCATCGGTAAAGAGCCGAAAAACTGATTTCCCGCAATTTTTCCGCCGCCATTTTGGAATTTGTCAAAATTTCAGATATCCAATGAAAGATTCGATCTTCTCGTGCCGAAATACCCCTAGATACCAAGTTTCATGCAAATCCAACGATATGCAGCCTAAATATCCACTTCCCCCTCTAGGCCGCCATTTTGACCGCCGCCATTTTGAAAAGGACTGACTTTTCTGGAAAACCAATGCCAGAATCGTTTTTCTCATCTTAAAAAACCTTTGGATTCCGAGTTTCACACCAATCCGTCAATAAACAACGGAGATGCCAAATTTTCGCCATTTTGAACTTTGACCGGCTGCGATTTTGTCAAAAATGAACATTTTGACCTGCGGTTTGCGCCAAAAATTTTCTTTTTTTGTTATCTTTCGAATGAGGTAACACAAAAAGGGGGTTGCCATTTGAAAAAAAAGTTAGCCCCCGCCCCCCTTAAGGGGGGCTGCCCCCCAAAATTTTGGGGGGACCAAAAAGTTGCTGTTTTAGACCGAGGAACATTCCCAAAGTTTCAAACTTCTATCTCAATTTGGAAAAAAGTTACAGGGGTGGTCAGTGACTTTTGGATAACCCTGTATGTGTGTTATATGTTAGCATTAAGTTGGTCAGCATTATACTAGTATTACACTCAGCAGTACAGGGTGAGCGAAAAGTCCCCGACCCCCCCCCCCTTTAACTTTTGAACGAATTGAGCTAGGGAGATGAAACTTTGGGAATGTTCCTATCTCAAAGGGGACCATCTTATGAGGGGGTCAAAATTTTGGTCCCCCCCTCAAGGGGGGGCGGGGCCCCCCAACTCTTTTTTTCAAATAGCAACCCCTATCTTGTGATACCTCATTCAAAAGAACATAAAAAACTAAGAATTTTGGCGCAAACCGCAGATCAATATCTTGATTTTTGACCGAGTTATTATAGGTCAAAGGTCAAATTTGACCTATTTTCAAAAAATCATAACTCCGGTTCAAATTATCGTAAAGTAAAAAATAAAACGGGAAAATTTACCAAATTGTCTCCGCTTTTAAGTAAAAATTGCAAAAATCACTTCGATTTAATTTTAAGGGGGGCTCCGACCCCCAAATACGTCAATTCAAAGGTCATTCAATTTTCCCGCGAAATAAGCCAATTTCCCCTGAATTTGCCTCCACATTATCTCAGTAAGATCAAAATCAGTTCAACATTACGTTGGCAAGTCCCCAAATTTCGGGAAAACTTAAAAAAAATGATATTTAAACGGTCAAATTTAATTACCTTAAATTTCGTTTTTTTAACTATGCATCTCTTGACCAATTTACCGCCGCCGAAGTTTTTGTCAGATTTTATATCTATAAAAAACTGAAAATCGAAAATTTTTCAGTCAATGCACTTTCGCGTATTTAATTATAAGCACGTTGCGGCTGTTCTACTTAAACTTGTATTTCTCCTATTGGTACACCTACCACGGATTATGATGGAACAAAACAATTGCAGGAGTGGAATCTTAAAAATTCCGGAACAGATCGCATTTGTCTCCATGTTGATTTTTAAAAAGACGAAAATAGTTCAACTCGAGATTGCATCTACAAATTTTCTAACGTGACACATGTGAGAAATTTTTCACTTTTACTTACTCGAAATCCCAGGATTGAGAGCATTTCTTGCTGTTCATCTCGTCGTGGCCCGATGTGTCTCTCTGGGAATAAATCACTTCTGCAGAAAATAGTTTTCCATTTTTCATCGTGCGATTCGTTGTTTTCGGCCGTAGACTGCAGATTTGATTTTGTTGATAGAGGATGACAATTTTTCAACCCCATTTTTTGAACTGCTCTAAATTTTTGGAGGCAAGTAAAATGGTGCACAGCATTTCTCCGCAGCATTGTGATAAGAAACGGAAGACGTAACAACTACTGAAAAACGGCTAGTGAACAATAATCAGAGGTGCCCGTATGATAGTGTTCAGTGATTTTACGGAATTAAATTGGTATTTATATCAAAAGAGGCGTGTTTTTCGCACTTCTTGATACGTCTTAGGCGCACGAAGCTGGAATGAAACGGAATGAAACAAAGTCTGAATTCTGGTGGTAAAGTGGGGATAATGAAACGTTGATATGTTTTAGAAAATGAGTCACAGCGTCAGTCAATAATTTCATCACTTAATTATAAGTTACCTAATAAACGCGCGTTGTTACTTAAACTTCTCGCCAATCTTTTCACCCTTACATGATTGAGATATAGTGGTCTCAGGTATGAATATCCATGGTGAAATAACGAGACCCTCTTTCTTCAGTTTACGACTTTGCAAATTTTGTTTCTTATTGTTCACTCTTCTCAGGATTGACCCATTATCGTTAAGAGGACTGTTTATAGTCGAGTCAAATGAGGGTTGAACCCGAAACTAATCGTGTGTTTGAGTTTTTTGGGCTCATTTCATTCAGGAGATCAAAAAGAATCGAATGAACTGAAATTCGCCAAAATTCTCCCAAAATTTGACCCCAAAACCCCTCAAAAACTGAACATTGACCGGAAAAATGCGAATTATCTCAGAAACCGCACATGTGAGCATGAATAGTTATATACTAAAATTAAAGGACGCCAGATTCCACGTCAGGAACCTTTATAAAAACTGCATGAAAGCCAACACTGAAAAAAAAGTTTCCTAAACTTAAGGATACATGCTTCCTTTATAAGTTTCCCAATTCGGCTCCATTTCCATAGCCCCCCACATTCGAATCTTAAACCAAAAATTATATCATAATCTTGTGCTAATTTTGTGCTATTTTGTGCCGCAAATTAAAAATTTTGTGCTGCAAAATTAAGGGGGGAAACGCTCCTCAAAATTGGGGGGGCTGTAGAAACGGTAGCCCCCCCCACTTTCGAATTTTCGAAAAAAAAGAATGCCATAATTTTGTGCTAATTTTGTGCTATTTTGTGCCGCAAGAAAAAAACTTTGTGCCGCAAAATTAAGGGGGGTAGCAGCATTCCAAATTGGGGGGGCTGTAGAAATGTTTGCCCCCTGTTTCGATTTCTCGGAAAAGGAGTATGCCATAATTTTGTACTAATTTTGTGCTATTTTGTGCCGTAGCAAGACTTTCAATTTTTTCAAATTTAAGGGGGAAAAATTGGTATTTCAAAATTGGGGGGGCTGTGGAAATGTTTGCCCCCCTCTTCGATTTCTTGAAAGTGGAGTATGCCATGCTTCTGCTTTAATTTTGTGCTATTTTGTGCCGTAGAGATATTATTCATTTTTGTAAATTTAGGGGGGTAAACGGGCACATCAAATTTTGGGGGGGCTGTGGAAATGTTTGCTCCCCTTTTTGATTTCTTGAAAAAAAAGTATGCCGTAATACTCTCATAATTTTGTGCTATTTTGTGCCGCAAAAAGAAAATTTTGTGCTCCAAAATTAGGGGTCCTAAATACCACCCCAAATTTAAGGGGGAGGTCGCAGGTGCGGCAGCCCCCCACTTTCGAATTTCGAGAAAAAAAGCACGTCATAATTTTGTGCTAATTTTGTGCTATTTTGTGCCGCAAAAAGAAAATTTTGTGCTCCAAAATTAAGGGGGTTAAATACCATTTCAAATTGGGGGGGCTGTAGAAACGATAGCCCCCCACTTTCGAATTTCGAGAAAAAAAGTACGTCATAATTTTGTGCTAATTTTGTGCTATTTTGTGCCGCAAAAAGAAAATTTTGTGCTCCAAATTTAGGGGGATTAAATACCACTTGAAATGGGAGGGGCGGGGACTGTAAGACAAGTTAGCGCTCCGGCGGAACCCGAATCTTCCGCTCCGGAGTCGCAGGCTCGCAGGTAGCCGGAACCTTTGGCAGCGCAGCGTGGTCACATCTCTCTCCGCTTTGACTTCTGCTCATGGAAACGGACGGAAAGGGCCAAGCACCGTGGCAACTCAAGAAAGATCCGGGCGGGAGATCCGGCGCGGCGCTCTTTGCACGGGATATTTAACCAGAGAGATTTATCCTATAATCATTAAGGATCCTTTTTGGAGGGTTATATACAGTTGGGTGTCAGCGAGTTCCAAATCGAATGTTGCTCTACTGTTTTTATTTTGCACGCTACCGATTATTATTTACTGAATCGAACAGTTTTGAGAAATAAATGATTGGCTTTCATTTCAGAAGCAACAACAATTTTGACACGTATCCAGCGAAACATATCATGAAAGGACCATTTTTAAGGAATGTTTCAGAAAATGTGTTATCGTTGATTTCAAGACCTCCGAAATCTAGTTTACATTACCGCCCTGAAGAATGCGCCCTGTGCTCTTTTCCAACTTTTAATAACAAAATTCAATTTTTCCACCATTTTTCGTTAGGTGCCGATGTTTGGTTTCAAATAAAGTACCAACACAATGTACATGTATATTTTTTAATAACGCTTTAATTATTCTAAAAAGCGCTGAAGTGTCCGAAATTTTCTTTTGTGGGAACGCTTAGCTCTAGCTTTCTACTGGGCTGATTTTCATGATTTTTGCGGATATCAACAGGTAATTTTGTTTAAATGAGCCCGCTTACACAGCCTGATTTATGGGGGGAGGGGGGGGGAGCATGGTGTTATGCCATCGGGCGACAAATTTCGGGGAATTTTTTGGGGTTTTTTTATGGAAGGGGAGTTTATGTTTCATTTTCGCCTTTTACGTGTCACAAACCCTCGTTCCTTGATAAATCATTTCCCCTTTCCTAAATAATTGTTTGCAACACTTTCCTGCACAAATGCGCATCCTTCTCACTATCGCAGAATACGATTGCGCTTTTGATGTTTTCGAAACTTATATTTCGTGCGCATCGGCATCGCGTGAATCTATAAGATATATAATTGATCAAGAGTAAGATATTATATGATTGACCCGAAAAAATCCCTAGTCGGGAAGAAAAAAATCCCTAGATTTCGCTAAAAATCCCTAAATCGCCAGATTTGCTCAAATATCCCCCAAAAAGCCCTAGAATTTACACAAATTGCCATTTTCAACGTAGAAATATGACATCGTTTGATGTATCAGTTTGGAATATTTTAATCTGATTGGCTTGTTTGAATTTTGCCGCCCTATGAAAGCATTGAACAGACCAATAAAATGAAGGAATAGGTAGTCGCGAATTCCCCCATATAACCAATGTAAATTTTAATTTTTTGTCACAGTTCGTTTGAGCGTTTCACTTGGTTGATTTCCATTACTTTCCGGCTACCGACAGGCGATAGTACCTAGATGAGCCCGCTCCATGCGGAGTTTGGCAATATGACCCAGGGTTCTAATATTTGGGTTGACTGGTGAGCTGGGCAAGGGTAGGGGCAATAAGCAAAATTTGAAGTTCCCTACCATGAAAAATGACGGGAATTTCAAATTTGGCGGAAAACCGACCAAATTAGAGATATTGAATTTTGGTTTTTTAGTCTTAGTTCGTTTGGATGATCAACCGGGGTGATTCTCATGGTTTTCGCGGCTACTAATGGAAGAGAATCCCTGGATAATCCCGCTCTATACTGAGGGCGCGATACGATGATGTCTGGACCTGAGGTTTTTCCAGCACACGTTGACACCAGCGCAACCACATCTCGGCCGATGCCGGTCTCCTTTAAACATAACAATAGACCGCTCGGCATCAATGGATCTCAATCCGTTGGCCTTCCCTGTGGCCTATTGGAGCTCCAAAGAAATTTGATGACATTTTTAAGATTTGCTTCGACTTTAACTCTCTTAGTAAACTTACATTCTGCGGAAAAAGCAGATTACAATGAACTACATTTTTTTATGACTTGTATATATACAACGGAGATGTCGGTCCGCAAGTTGCAAATTCAGCAGAAGAAATATTGGACCGCATTTAGCAAAAAGAAACCAGCGTGATTACAGTGTTTTCAAAATCGTGCGACTACTTTTTTTTCTTTTAAAAATACGAAATATATGTACTGTATGAAAATTTACAGAATAACTTCCCTTCAAAATTAACAAAAATTATTTAGTGGGAAGCAAGAACTATTTCCTACTTTGGGAGATTTTTTTTAGATAATTATGAAAAAGCAATATTTTAACAACACTGTGATTGCGCAGGTTCCTGTTTGCTAAATGCGATCCTATTGATCTTGCTATGCCGCAGAATCACGTATTTTCTTTGGTTTGACCACCGATTTGCTCGAAATTTTACCGCGAATTTGAAAATATAGACTAAAAAAACTTTTTTTGAAAAAATAAAAAAATTGCACTCGCGAGCTGTCTAATCCTCGGTTGAAATTTCGAGGGTCAGATTCAGGTAAGCGCGAGACAATGGGGCAGCGATGTCGAGCGTGCCGAGTAGCGGTCTAGAGGATTGCTGTGTTGCCAATTACGAGATTATGGTATTTACTCATTCGATTTTCCAAACGTCGTAGCGCGCCCCCGGTATACTTAAATTGAGCAACAAAGGCCTGCGAAGCGGGCCCTTTGGGGGTTGGACTGCATAGCGGCCAGTAATTAAAAATGGCCCATCATGAAGAACAAAAGCAATAGCATTTCTAGTTCCGTGATCGACCAGCAGGGGTATATAGGGTGTTGCAAGACGATGCAAAAATTTTCAGGTTGCTAGGGTCGCTCCGAAATAGAACAGAATACATTGATCGCAATCAAGCGGAGTGACGTGACTCAAGGGACCGGATTTATCATATCGATGGCTATAGTAGCCCAATCACACATGAAAAAATTTCTTTTGAGAATTTTTTTGGTCTAACTCCCTGAAATCAATTCATTTGAACAAAAAGACTCTGCCAAGTTTAAGACAAATTGAATAATATTAACCCATGCCGACTGAGGCGTCTTTTTTATATGGGATTTTACATTGAAGAACACTTTTTTTTTTTAGAAAATGCAATTTTCCGGAAAATCGGTAATTTCTAGAAAAAAAATCTGAAACCGTATTCGGAATAAGCCGAAAAAATTGAGAGGGAAGAGTCCCATCAGACACTTCAAAAACAATAAATTCACCTCTCGTTTTAGCGGTGAAACACGGGAAAGTGCTTTTATGGAGGGTAAATGACGGTATAAAAATCTCAAATAATTGCATAGGTCTGCGTCCGAAAACAAAGCTTAACATACGATGGTTGT